TGGGGTGACGGTCCTGGCAGACTCGACATGTCCACGGCCCCTCTTCCAAAATCGAGTCCGGGAAACACAGATCCGACAAATACCACACCAAAAGCCCTCGATCTGGGATTCAGGGTTTAGGGGTGTCGGGTTTATACTATAGGGCTTCAAAAGACCTCAACTTCATCTTCAACCGCCAACCCTAAACCCTCAACCCTAAACCCTCAACCCTCAGCCTCAACAATCCTCGAACCCTGAGCCCGAAGTACACCAGAAGCCTCGAAGACGTAAGGAGTCCTTGTCCAGCCGAATCCGAATTCCTGTAGGAAACCATTTCCTCAGCGATGTCCAGGGTTTAGGGTTCACTTTAATCCTCTTCCTCCTATATCGTCTACTTTTCCCGGCTCCTTATGATGATTTCATTCTAGACATCCTGATAAAGGTAGGTTCTTACTGTCTTCTTCAATAACCGGTCACAAAAAGGCTCAAGCTTTCTAAGAGAGACCTATATACGCAGGGCAATGAAGTTTCAAGTTAAAACCATTGGCGAAGGACACTTATCGGCTACACTTAGAAGGTCCGGGTGTTCCTCGCCCTCGTTTCGCTACAGCAGCTTTTACTTTAGACGCGATCCCTAGACCCATGATGCTGAACCGTTTAGGCTTTTGGTTTGGGGTTCAGGGTTTAGGGCTGATGGTGATGCTTGTATGATGACGATGATGATGGTGTTGAAAGAAGAAGAAGATAATAATAATGATGCTTATGACAACAGTGAGGACGGTCATCAGGGAGCTGTTTGCTGTTGTCTGAAGCTCACTGAGCGTGCAAGTTACCTGTGCTAGCTTGACGCTTTAGCCGCTATCCCAAACAAATACCATCAATGCCGTGTGTATCGAAACCCTGAACCGCTAAACCCTAAACCCTATTGGGGTTATAAGTAATTATAAGTATAGTTACCTTATTTATAACCCCAGTTACGAAGTCCCATGAACCTTTAAGTATGCCGAAGAACAAGAGCATGTTTTCCAGAGTGTAGAGCTGCTTCAGCGCCTTCCAACCTCTGCTTGCTGCCAAGGCCACGGAAGGCTTAAAAGCCTAGGGTCCGTAAACCTCCTAAACCCTAAATCCTAAGAACCCTAAACCCTTGAACCCCTAAACCCAACAGCCCTAAACCCTAAACCCCTACACCCTAACCCTTGCCGCTGAAGTCTTGCAACTTGAAACTTTCTACAAGGCACTAGAGGTGCTTAGGACCTGAACCTTGTGAGCATTATGATTGTGACTCTAGAGCCAAGAGTTTAGGGTATCACCCTGCTTTGGGGTACATGGGAGTTGGTACGTTATCCCTCTTCCAAGACAAGCTCCTAGTATGTGCTTCAGTTCAGAAAGACATGTTTGATATCTCCATTCATGTCTACTCCCGCCAGTCCATGAAACTTCGCGCAACAAGATCACGGCAATTGCGAGAAGCCCGAAACCAAACGCCTTCAGCTGTCAAGGACATCGGATGTGAACTCAGACTCCCGTGCTACTAACCCTAAGGCTCCAAAGGACCCAATAATAAGGTACTTTGGTTGCGGATAGTAGTTTTCTAGGTTAATATTTAGGAGAGTATATGATTATTATAGGTACTTGGACACTTAGGGTAATGACGACGACGCCCGACGTAGAACTTCCCAGCCTTTCTTCTCGTCAAAACTCTGAACAGTGTAACGCATACCGCAGCATGGACATGTCAGCGGCGGCCACTGTATACTTGCAAAAGCAGAGTTGAAACCCAAAGCCCGCATACCAGACACTTTGGGCCTATTCTTGGGCCCCGGGCTACATAAGGAGGTGGAAAGAAAGCGTAGGGGCCGTGTCAAAACATGTGACCATGTACACAGACAGCAATTAAATTACACACTAGACAACATCAAAGAAACACGGGCTCTCTCAAGCCAAACTTGAACAAACCTTTCCAACACTAGCAGGCATCGCTTGCGCGGGTTTGTGGCACGGCATACAGAAGAGAAGTCTACTTTCCCTAAACCCTAGACCCCGAGACCTTGCCTTTAACGCCTGCAGATCAAAGTAAGTGACATGTGTTCATTTCGAGTATCTTCGAGTCATAGGGATCGCGTTTCTACAACCTTTCCAAGCGCTGTCTGCGCAATGCATGTGAGCCTCTCGTAAGCCGTAGGATCTAAGCTATTTTCAAGGCTCCGAGCAAGCACACTCTTGCAGGGGCCAGGGTTGCTCATGATATCGTCAAGATGGTGTTGCGAATCCCTGAACCGTAAACCCTACGCCCCAAGCCCTAAACCCTAAACCCTAAACCCTAAACCCTAAACCCAACTTAAAAACTCAACCCGCAACCGGCCCCTAAACCCGTTTTGAAAGGTAAATCCGAAAGCTGACCCTAAGCCCTAAACTCAACTCTAAACGGCCCGGTTTAGGGTTTAGGGTTTAGGGTTTAGGGTTTCCTTGGACACCGACAGCTTCGGGGCTTGGCATAGTGGCCGCAAAAATTAGAATAGGGTTTTGGGGTATATTATGCTAGAGTTATAACAAAGGAGCCCTGTGGAATAGTATTGGTAGTGATTCCGGCCGCGCTTCCCTCAACCCGAATTGAAACCCTCAACAATCCTACACCCTAGCCCCTAATTGGAGGTTCATGGGACATAATGTGTACAGTTATGAGTACCTTAATTGGGGTTATAAGAAATTTTAAGTATAGTTACCTTAGTTATAGCCCTAGCAGCTACGTCCCATAGTAAACCCTGATACCCCTAACTTTTAAACCACCCTACACCCTCAAACCCCTAAACCCTAAAACCCCTAAACCCTAATCTCTAAAACCCCTAAACCCTAAGCCCTAAACCCAAAAGCCCCAAAACCGCAAAACCCTAAACCCTAAGCCCTAAACCCCAAAACCCCAAAACCCCTAAACCCTCAACCCTAGGCCCTAAACCCCAAAACCCAAAAACCCCCAAACCCTCAACCCTAGGCCCTAAACCCCAAAACCCAAAAAACCCTGAGCCCTTTCGGGGCTTGAGGTGCCTCGTAGCTGGATTTCAGCTGCAGGCTTCGGCGCATCTGTGCACTCGCCGTTTAAGAGCTCCTGAATGGTTTAGGGTTTCGGGCTTAGGGTGAATGGTTTAGGGTTTCGGGTTTAGGGCTTCGGGTTTAGGGTTTCGGGTTTCGGGTTTAGGGTTCAGGGACCCTGAAAGGAGCCCTTTAGGGATCTACAAGGGCCCCCTGGAAGGGATCTATAAGGGCCTGATCGATGGTTAAAATGGGGTGTAGAGGTATATTATATGGGGGGTTGGGAAAATTAGGGTGCCGCCTTTTTTCGTACCCCCAATGGCAAACAGCAGGATCCTTGTTATAAGGACCCCAGAGTAAGGTACCCGGAAACTCCCAAACCTCTTAGTCTAGATTAGGGTTGAGGGGCTTTGAGGGTTTCCGGAGCTCCTGATCGTTTGTTGCCGTTATTAGGATGTCGGCCTTCGCAGCAGGACGCGAAGCTCTTTGTCTTAGCTATTCATGAAGCACCTGCATCAAACATATGTTCGTTGAAATGCTCTGTTCTTGAAGTACTCCCTACAATAAGTACTTTAGGACCAAAGCATGCACTATATGGGCCCTAAACCCTAAACCCTGTGGGCGCATGGACCCTTATGATGGACACAGAGTGACCTTCCAATTCATGCTGCACTCACAAAAACTATCTCAGGAAGGTTTGGGCTGGAGATTAGGGTTTAGGGTTTAGGGTTTAGAGCTTAGGGTTTAGAGTTTAAGGTTTAGGGTCCCTCGAAAGTCATCTGACTCATTACTCAATATCAAAGAGTAAGGTTCCGATGTACTGAACTTTGAAGTAAGTAGCCAGGGAGAAAGAAGCAGACACTGTTTATTTCATAACCTTTAAGGAACAGGTCCAACATGAAGTTTTAAAGTATGGTACTCCCGAACCCTGAATACGCAAAAAGAGCGAGCCTGTCTTTCAGAAAGCGAGGGGGGGAATGGGCTCCCCGAACTGCATGTTCAGCAGAATCTCTCATGGCGTAACATAGGGGCCGTAATAGTTAGACTAGGGTTTTGGGGTCCATCATACCATAATAAATATAATCAGGAACCCCCAAAATAGTATTGGTTATTATTTAGGCCCCTATGTTCCCTCGAATCTCGTACCAAGTGGCTTCGTCCATCTCTCCCAGAAGCGGTGCCGCATTGGCCGGCGTCGGCGACATGGCGATGCGCTCCGTCGATTATCAAAGAGCAGGATGCTGGTAAATGGGTCCGGTTATCGGAACTCACCAAGAGATAGTAGGGTTATGACCCACCAGTCTTACGGAGACCAACTTCTCATAATTATACACCTACGGCTCCATGATAGAATTACCAAACCGTGCTATGACAAAACTGGAATGAACCTAAAAATCCAAACCCAAACCCCTAAACCCTACCCTGGTCCATGGATGTCTTGATCTTGCTGCTTATCAGAAGCGACGTGACCAGGCACGCACTATGCTGGACCCTAGAGAACCTACCTTTCTTAGGGCTCCTTGTTATGATTTCCTGATCTAAGTCCTTAAAAAAGGTAGGTTTTTCACGGCCCAGGATGGTTCCAGAACATCCAGGATCCTGAAAAGATGCACCCGCATGACTATAGGGTTCTTGTCCAGGGCGTTTTAGGGATGTTTGCATAGCTATTTCCATGTCGTGTGCCAACAGCATTCTGTAGTTCCGAGTCTTCGTTCCCTAAACTGCAACCATGATTCGAACCCCTCCAACGCCATAAACAACAAATCCTGATAGAACGCGTCACTTGAAGGAACTCTTACAACCTAGTTTACAAGGAAGCCGAACACGCTGGCCCCAAACACCCTACACCTAACCCCCAAACCGCCAAACCCCTAAATCCTAAACCCGTAAACCCCTAAACCCCAAACCCTAAACCCTAAACCCTAAACCCTAAACCCTAAACCCTAAACCCAAACTCCCCAAACTCCCCAAACCCCAAAGTCGCTGTGGCGCACCCACGCCGCCTCGATAAAGCGCGGCCCAAACGGGGCTACCCTGCATGTGATGTAGGGTTTACCCTAAACCCCTAAACCCTAAACCCTAAACCCTAAACCCTAAACCCTAAACCCTAAACCCTAAACCCCTAAACCCTAAACCCTTTAAAGCAGGTTCGGTTTGAGAAGGCTCCTTTACTGTGCGTGATCTGTAAGGCTGCCATAACCCTTACCCTCAAAGGACTCATAATTCAGGGCTTTTGGGCCCAAAGACCCTACCATATAAGGCTTTTGGGCTATTTGGATGCTAAGGGTAAGGGTTCAGGGCGCAGGATTGTTAGTAAAATACTAAAACCCCAGACACACACTCACCAAGACCCGAATATTCACACCAAACCTCAATTTGGGTTGAGGGTGGCGTTAAGGGTCTGGGGCTTAGGGCAGTTCTCTCGATTAAAAAAGCCCTCCATGTCGAGTCTCTTTAATCCCCAAGGGTCCATGTACCCAACTAGCATATGCTTTGGCCCGTAAGTCATAAGGAGTACTTTCAAGCCCTAAGCATACACGAATATACTCTATGGGCACATGGGCACTAAGGAAATGTTGTCCGGTTTAGGGTTTAGTTTCCGCCAACTTCAGGGGCTTCATAGGATGATTTTGCTTTCTGCTTTTGGGTAGTTCTCTAAATTAGGGTCCCTGTTATAAGGGTCGTTATTATAAGAGTGGCGTACTATATAGGAGTAAAGAGGGACTCTAGTTCGGAGAACTACCCTTTCTTGTTTGGTGGTGGGTTGTGAGCCTAACGTTCCTTCAGTGGCCCTAAACCCTAAACCCTAAACCGTGGCTCTTTTTTGGTTCGCAGGCTTTCGTTGTGAGTTAAGCGTTAATCCCCGGGGCCTTCTCTGTGGATTTTCTGGACCTCTCAGAACAGGGCTGAGGGTTTTGGGTTCAGGGTTTAAAGTATAAATCCAGTGCTTGGGTGCAGGGCTTTACGGACATGAATTTGGGCGATCGCTATCCTACCCACATCACTACCCCACCCGGTCCCTCAAATCACACAAGGCCGGAGCCTCAATCATCAGAATAGGGTTTTGGGGTATATTCATACTATAAATACAATAAGGAATCCACCAAAATACAATAAATAATTCTTGAGGCCCCTAAAATGCCAGTCTTCGTGGCTCTGGGACGTATGGCCATAGGAATGTTGTGCCCTTCGAGATAGAGCCCTGCGTGCTCGGCAGCCCGAAACCCTGAATGCCTGTGTCCTGAAACCCGAAAACCCCGCCAAAACCTGATAACGGTTTCAGGTTTAGGGTTTAGGGCTTAGGGGTTTAGGGTTTCGGGGTTTAGGGGTTTAGGGTTTAGGGTTTAAGGGTTTAGGGTTTGGGGTTTAGGGAAGTCACATGCCAAGACGCTGAAGCCGACGTAGCTGAGGACCAAAACCCCTTTGCGGCCCTACAAGACTCCACCCTACAACCCCTGGCCACCTTGCATCAGGCTGCAGGAACGATGGTAGCGGCAACAGGCAAGTCACCTCAGAGTAGGCTTAGATCTCGGAATCAGGGTTTAGGATATGTGGGTGGAACGTTTAAGCCGACACTAGGGTTTCAGGATTCTCAGGAAAGAAAAAGGATCCTTCTATAGCATCCCTTCGAAATTAATCGCCGGGAGCCCGAAGCACACAGCAAAACCGGTCTCTACTATTGACCAAAGCTTGGGTCTATGCCTTGGGTGCTGCCCCGCCCCATTAACAGTGACCACAAGATGAACCACAACGAAAAGCACAAGAAAATCTGGCAAGTTCATCGATTTTCTAAATCTCCAACAGGACAGTCCCCGTGACCGTGCTTCCCCTTCCTGCAAAGTCGAAATCGGCAGAACGCAAGGCCC